TTTTTTTTTTTTTTTTTTCCCCCCCTAGTCAAATTGATAGAAACATCAATTGTGGTTTTAAAACTATATGAGAAAAAACTGTTTAAAATCATGAAAAGTATATTCAATCTTTTCCACAAATGTAATTCTTTTAGTTTGAAATATTAAACATTATTTTCTAAAACAAATCCTTGGTTCTATATAATTTGTTTCTAGTGTCCAGCTCTTTTTTGTCCCACTTATATTTGATGCATGGTCAAGAGAATGGAGTCACAAGAAATAGAAAGAGTGTATTTGGCAATAAAAACTGAACTCATTTACAAGTTGAAATAGTACCATACCACACCTTGTTTATATTAATCCATTTATATCACAAAGCATTCTTATGTACATATGTATCATTTATTTCTCACAGCAGTATCATGGTATAGATGTGCATGTTCTAAAATATAAAACTTATTTTTCCTTAAAAATAGCAAAAAGGATCACTGTGTTCAGCCTCAGTTAAGTCCTGAAATAGGCTCACTAACTTGGCACCTCCAACTGTTCGTTTTTGCCATTTTCTCTATAAAATTCTCTGTTCCCAGGGATTTATGTTTAATGCTATCAAGGTCTGCCTTTAGAAAATAAAGTACCTGAAACAATTAGTCACAGTGTCTCATTTCTCAGGATAATTTACATTTTAAAAGAAAATCAGAACTAAAGCCAAAACAATCAGCCCCTAAGAGGAAATTAGAGAGATTAGTGAGGAAGACATTTTTAGACAGAAAGGTTTTCAGTTACCAAATAAAAAAAGTGGTGGCTTCTGAATCAAGGCTGCTTTCAAGGTCACCGGTGTCCCCCACAGGAAAGGTATGGAAAATAGTGTGTGATTTGGAATGAGCATGGATTTCACAACCAGGCAGATCCAGATTGGAATCTCAGCCCTTACATTTAACAGCTTAGGACCTTGTACAATTTTCTTAACCTTTTTAAGCCTGTTTTCTGATCTGTAAAATGGGATAATACCCACTTCCTAGGGTTGCTTGTGGGTATTAATGTCAGGCATGTTGTATATAGTAAATGCTAGTTCCCTCTGCCACTTCCCTTGATAGAGCTGCTCAGATGGCAAAGTAATTTAAGTCTTATAGAAGGTTAGATTATAACACCACTAGTAATTTTAGTTATGAGACTGTATAGGTGAATAAGTTATTTCCTAAGTAATTTTTCATAGGAAGTATTTCTTAGAAATAGTGCTAAATCTGGCACCATACCTGCTTCACTCAGAATTCCTGTAGGTATCAAGGACCCTCTTCTGGATATGATATATCCACATAGCTTTATGCTTCTCTGTCTACTCTTTTCATGGGCTGCAAAGCCACTATCTTTAGTTAACAACCACATCTGCTTGGTGTGTGCAGAGGAATAGAATCTGTGTAGAGCTGTCCCTGCTGCATGGTCTACGGAAAAGACAGGTCATGCAGTTGAGCCAGTCAACATCATAGACCCAGGGGTCAGGTGCCCAACATCCTTGAGAAACCATAAACAATTAGCCTGGTCTCATATGTGGGAAGATGTCTCACCAGTTGGTTCTATTATAACCCACCTATTGCCTTCAGGGAAGGTTTCAAAGCAATAACAGCTCTTGAGTACACTGAGTTTCATAAAGACAGAGTTCTATGAACACAGAAGGTAATTCGATGAATTTAAGATTGTTGGCAGGGATTAAGAGAATCCTCCCCTCTTTTAATTTTGGCCATAAAAATGCACTGAGGTAGTTCATTTTTCTTATCCCCTATAAATTCTCATCAAAAGTCAAGGCATTGGTATTTTAAGGCTTCATATATTCTGTGGGTTATAGTGATGTACTTTACTGCCATGACCTCTTCAATATTCTGTAATTTGCTTGACTGAGTCTGGAAGTCTCCTCTGTTTACAGCATTACTGATGTAGAAGGCACATAGAATAAACAGACACACTAAAGTCTTCAAGGGAAACTTGCAAAGGAGGAGGGTCCCCATACCAGCCACATCAATCTAGCAAGAAAATGGGGATCCTTTTCCTTCCCTTATATTAAGTGTTTAGAAGTGAAATTCAGGAGAGAATAACTTTGTTCTGAGGAACAGGTAGAAAGGATCACATTAGAAAGATCCTAGGACAGAGTTGTACACACACAGCATGGCACACAGGTAAAGGCTTTCTCCCACCTGTCAGCATTTTATCCAGCTGTCAGAATTCCCTGAGGGCTGAGACTTTTGACTTTGTACCAGTTGCAAGTACCTGAAATAGTTAACATTTCGAAATCCTCCATGTTCTGGGCAAAATGCTCAGAATTTCACATGAGTCATGTTATTTTCATAACAACTCTTTGAGGTGGATACTTTAATAATTTCCATTTTCTAGATGAGGTATTAAGTTAGATAACTTTCCCACAATTAAGTAATAGAGCTGGAATTCAAACCCTGGCCATCTGACTTCATTCCCCCTGGTGTCCATAAAATTTTCCCCGCTCAGATTTCCTGCTACAAGGAGCATAGCTGTCTGGCAGTCCCAGATGCTGGACCTCTGGATCCACCAAGGCATTTGCACCATGGGCTGCTCCCAGCTAATGACTGAGGGTTACTCGTGCTGGCCCATTCCTATGGGATACAAGACTCTTCCAACATGTGACTTTAAGGGAGGAACTCCCCATCGGCCTGGTCAAAATTTCTTAACTGTGCTGTAGTTGGGTTCCTTCCTACCCAACCCTCCTTCCTTCCCTCCTTCTCCCTGTTCACAGGTGTCAGACCTGCTTCATGATCGGAAGCGTCTCCTTACCTACTCCTGCTTCCTGCTATTCACCCTTCACAAGCACTTCCCCCAACAAATCTCTTGCACATCTAACCATGTCTGGGTGTCTGCTTCTTGGAGAACCCAAACAACACACTACCCCTGCCTCATTCTGGACAGTGGCACAAACCTCCCTATCTCTGTCAGCTTACTTCAAGTGTCAAGCAAGAATTGCCACTGACATTTTAGACGGAGGGACTGTCCATGTTTGAAAGGCCTTTGATGATTTCCAACTATTACTTTCTTCACACCCACTCTATTTTCTCCTTTTAACTTAAACAAACAAAAACACACCACCGCATATCTTATCTACAACCGTGTCCAAATTTCTTAGATCAGAGGGACCACGGAAACATTCAACCAAACCTAGGGGACGGTGTGAGGGCAGCGAGGGGAGGGCAGGCCCGCCAAGCAGGAGCAGAGCAGTCCCCAAGGGCGTCCTCACCCGGCTCATGCTCCCCAAGGGCGTCCTCACCCGGCTCATGCTCCCCAAGGGCGTCCTCACCCGGCTCATGCGCAGGCGCAGCCGGCACGAAGCTCGCGCCTCAAACGCCCACCAGGTGCTCTGAGATGGTGAGACGGAAAATAATCCAGCAAACACTCGGGTGTGCAGCCTCACTCCCTCCTCGTCCTGGAAAGTCCCAAAGCACAACGGCGTATTAAAGGCCCTCGAGAACCTGTGGCAAAGAAACTGCTTTAAATTCCCACACTTATTTGACGAGGCATCTGCTTTTTAACACTCCACAGAACTGAGGATCTGGAGAGTCTGCGCACGTGGCCCTGTCGGTCCCTAGGTTCCCCCGCTTCCTTCCTCTCTCCCCAAACCTAGAGCCTTAGTTTCCACTCTCGAGGTGTTTCGTGTGTTCAGCCTACGGTGTGAGCGCGGTAGCTGAAAGCTTTTCCTGTGAGCAGGAGCCCCTCGTGCATTCGGAGAGCGTTCAGTGAGGAATCAATTCAAAGGTCTGGGCTACCGTTTGCGGGAGGGGAACATGAACCCGGCCCCGGCCTTCTCGGGACTCGGACCCAGGGGAGGACAGGGAAGGCTGCAGGCAGATCGCTCAGCAGAGCCCTGAATAATTACACCCCAGGAAACAGCACCCTCGTGGGATCGCCGTCGGGGACTAAAGATGGAAAAGCAGCAGTCCTGTTTGTCAACACGACAACCAAGGTTTCAACAAAGTGTGGTCGCCGAGCCGGGTTCCGCCCCAGTCCCCACCCTGCCCCACCGCGGGAGCTCCTGCCGCCGCGCCCGCCTGCGGACTCCGCATTCCTCCTGCGCTCCGTTCTCTCATGACAGGTCCTCTTCGCTACAGTTAACTACCTGAGCGCTAAGACTTGAGCGTCACCATCAGTCCTCCACACACGGACCTTTTTCCGTAGCCGAAATTTCCACCCCAGGCCCTGGGGTAAGGTCACTAAAATGAGCGTTTGTGAATCCTGACTCCACTTGTACCAGCTCGGGTTCCGTAGAAGTGGTCTCTCCGCAGGAGGGCCTTGGGCTTCGGCCGAGTTCCTATAAAAAATGAGACTGAGGTGTCTATCACATTTCCCCGAATAGATTCTCAGGCGCAGGCCAAGTGTATTTAAGTACTCTTTATAAAGTTTTCTCCTCTAAAAAGTATGGCTATGAAGGAGCAAGTGGAACTTGTATTTCTTTTCATGCTTTTTAAATTTTTTTCCGCCACACCCTTCGTGGTCTCCCCTTTGCCCACACGTCGCTAGACAGGCAGCGTCTGGCCACCCTCCGAGGTCCTGATTTTGAAAAACGGAGCGGGCCAATCAGCGTGCGGAGCGCTGTTTGGCGCTGCCGTTTGAGCCTGGGCTGGAACTGAGGGTGGGGCGGCCTCAGTGGCCCGGAGCGTCTGCACGGGCGGCGGGGCGGAGGCATGGGGAGAGCGTTTTGGCTTCCTTGAGCGCACCGGGATATGCAGGCGGAGGGCCGAAGGCAGGCTAATGGGGGAGGGCAGGAGCAGCCTGTGAAACGGGGTGACGGTGGTGACCAGCCCGGGCGGGGACCGGGACTGGAAGAGGCGCCTGAGTAGCCGGCTGGTCCGGCAGCCTGGGGCGGGGAGGGGTGCGGGGACCGAGGCGAACATTCAGCTGACCCCGCCGGGGCAGGAGGGGCGAGAAGGGCCGTCTTTACAGTTGGGAGAGAGACGAGGGCAGAGTCAGGTTTGGAGGAAAGGGGCAGTGGCCGGAAGTGGTGAGGAGCCGGTAACGGGCGTTGGTACCGGGAACCGCAAGGCTCTGGGAGAAAGGAGGTCTGTGGAGGTAGCCGAAAGGATCGTGCGACATGAAAGAAGGTCGGTGTGAGTGAAGGAAAGGTGGGGTGTGGCCAGATCAAAGGGTTAGGAGAAGACGGTTGGTGGACGTGGAGAGAGGAACTAGGGAAAAGCCGTGGACGTGGCTGGGGGCCGGGGCCGGAGCTGTGCCAGACGGGGCCGGAAGGCAGCGGAGCCGAGCGCAAACCTGAGAGTGTTCGGAACTTGGAAGACTTGGTGGCGAACGAGGATCAGGACTCAGAGCCGGCCTCGGGGAGGGGGCGACGTCTCCGGAATGTGGGATCGGAGGCTGGTGAGGCTGGCCTTGCTGCAGCAGCTTCGGGCTGTCTACGGCATTAAGGTCAAGGGTGGCCGTGGGCAGTGCGATCGCAGGAGGCAGGAAACAGCAGCCGCGGAAACAGTGGTAAGTTCTGGGGAAGATTTAGATGGGGGGG